TTGACTAGGAGGTCATCATTACCAGGTGCTGATTGAGAGGTTATAATTACCGGGTGTTGATTGAGAGGTCATCAATAGTGGGTGTTAACTGGGAGGTCATCATTACCGGGTGTTGATCGAGAGTTCATCAATAGTGGATGTTGACTGGGAGGTCATCATTACCGGGTGTTGATTGAGAGGTCATCAATAGTGGATGTTGACTGGGAGGTCATCATTACCGGGTGTTGATTGAGAGGTCATCAATAGTGGATGTTGACTGGGAGGTCATCATGTTGATTGACATCAGGTGCTGATTGAGAGGTCATAATAGTGGATGTTGATTGAGAGGTCATCAATAGTGGATTGAGAGGTCATCAATAGTGGATGATGACTGGGAGGTCATCATTACCGGGTGTTGATTGAGAGTTCATCAATAGTGGATGTTGACTGGGAGGTCATCATTACCGGGTGTTGATTGAGAGGTCATCAATAGTGGATGATGACTGGGAGGTCATCATTACCAGGTGCTGATTGAGAGGTCATCATTACTGGGTGTTGATTGAGAGGTCATCAATAGTGGATGTTGACTAGGAGGTCATCATTACCGGGTGTTGATTGAGAGGTCATCATTACCGGGTGTTGATTGAGAGGTCATCAATAGTGGATGTTGACTAGGAGGTCATCATTACCGGGTGCTGATTGAGAGGTCATCATTACCGGGTGTTGATTGAGAGGTCATCAATAGTGGATGTTGACTGGGAGGTCATCATTACCGGGTGTTGATTGAGAGGTCATCAATAGTGGATGTTGACTGGGAGGTCATCATTACCGGGTGTTGATTGAGAGGTCATCAATAGTGGATGTTGACACAAAGTCACATGCTTAAGGAAACACCACATGTGCTACATGTGTCTCAGCACAGGGTACAACCAAAACCCTACAAACTCTCAGGAATCAAACATTCTAACCATTGAAACTACAGTTACAGTCTGCAATCACTATTGCTGAGTGCATCAGATTTGTGATTTGGTCGGTATAAAGCCACGTTGAAGAGTACACGAGTTATATCACAGAGGGGGATAGCTCAAAGAGATGCAGGTCTTAGACAATTTAGGCTTTGGTGAAACCCACTAGTAAAGATACACTGACAAACCAAGATATATAACTGGGTGAGCTGAGATTTGACCCAATAGTTACTTGCATGCCTAAGGGACACAACTCTGATCAGGCCCATACTGATTATTTTTATATTTTTTGTGGGTGGGTGGGGTGGGGGTGGGGAAAGAGAAGAAAGAAAGATGGGGAGGAGGAGGAGGAGGAGGAGAAAGTAGCAAGATACTACTAAGTTTACTTTATTCAAACTACATAACTTTGGACAGTACAGAAAATTAGATAAACAAGTCAATAACAACACATTGTAAACATCGGGCAAATGTCATGCAGCTTAATGTTGAAGCAATTGCACATATTAACTTATGACAATCCAAACAAATTCTGAAGTCACGTTTTCCCCTCATCAGTTAGAACTGTAACATTACCCCACTTGGAGAAACACTTTACATGAAAAAGTCCCTTTGGGGTCATAAATCTAGGTTATGTTTTACTGTAGACTATGAGAGCAGCCATTTTTATTGGTGCATGGATGCTCGCTGATCAGACACCATTACCAGTTGGAGGTTCACTGCAGGCTAGAGGTACAGTGGTAACTGTACACACATCATGATTGTTTTCTGTGCAGGACGTGATGCGTGTCAGTGTCAAGTTGACATGGAGCCAGCTGTAACATCACTGTTTATGATTCTCTGACAAGTTATATTTCAAAATGATCAATGACTGGACCAGTTAGCATTGAGGATGTTGTTTTCACAAAGATTAGTGATTATCTCAATGAGACCTGGAATTGTGGAAAGTAAGACTGTTGTTGGTCTCCATTAGACTGGGTATTTCACCACATATAGTCTGCACTTAAACAGTGATAGTCTTCAATAGACCAGGGATAGTCTTCATTTGACCATGGATAGTCTCCGCTTTACCAGAGATAGTCTTAACTAAGCCAAGGATAGTTTCCATTTGAGCAAAGATAGTCTCCACTTGATCAGGGATAGTCTTCATTTGACCAAGGATAGTCTCCACCTGACCAGGGATAGTCTCCACTTGATTAGGAATAGTCTTCATTTGACCAAGTATAGTCTCCACTTGACCAGGGATAGTCTCCACTTGACCAGGGATAGTCGTCATTTGACCAGGGATAGTCTCCACTTGACCAGGGATAGTCTCCATTTGACCAGGGATAGTCTTCATTTGACGAAGGATAGTCTCCACTTGCCCAGGGATAGTCTTCATTTGACCAGGCATAGTCTCCACTTGACCAGGGATAGTCTTCATTTGACCAGGCATAGTCTCTACCTGACCAAGGATAGTCTCCACTTGACCAGGGATAGTCTTTATTTCATCAGGCATAGTCTCCATTTGACCAAAGATAGTCTTCACTAGACAAGGGATTGTCTGCACTTGACCAGGGATAATCTCCACTTGACCAGGGATAGTCTCCACTTGACCAGGGATAGTCTTCATTTGACCAGGGATAGTCTTCACTAGACAAGGGATTGTCTGCACTTGACCAGGGATAGTCTGCACTTGACCAGGGATAGTCTCCACTTGACCAGGGATAGTCTTCATTTGACTGGGAATGGTACTCATTATAACAATATACAGGCAGTGGAGAGTCTATGTTGAACAGGGGATGGTCTGAGTTAGACCAAGGATTGTCTCAGTTAGATTGCACATGGTCTCAGTAAGACTGGAGACAATTTCAGACTCAGACAGAGAATGGTCTCGAAAAGACCAGTGATTATCCTCAAAAGGACATAACTGGAGCTTAGTAGTCTATCAATAATCAATAATAATTGTAAACTCCACCACAAAACTCAATAAGAGGACACAATCATAACATTGTGCAAACGAAACAGGCACCAATTAATACTACGATCAAGAAGATTGAGGACATTTCAAGCGATTATGTTGTTTATATTGCAGTTTAACAATCAGATAACAGCATCAGTTGTTCATGTCTTGAATTAACAAACATAACAATATTAAACATACTTTCTGAAGTTTAATTTGATGCTTCATTTATAATGGTCTCCTAAGCCAATCAATAATCGCTGAGTGAGATCAACTGGCCAACTATTTGACTAGTAGCACCAGCACTAGTCGTTACAGAGGTACAGATAAGCTGCGTATCTGCGTAAATTAAGCAAACACTTATGTGAATACTCAATTCCTATTGTCTTTTGTGTACAAGTACACTTGAATTTTTGTAAATACTCAATTAATTTGATCTTACATGTGTACACACACAAATGTCAAATCTTAGCTTGCGTACCGGTAGATAGATAAAATAACTGAGGAATATTGAGGGGTTCTATTTCAGCACATGAACTTGGAAACTTGCAGTCTTTCTTATCATTACTCTTATTACAGATCAACTATATATATATAACAAACACGTAAACCAACATTTAAATTTAAATATATTTTTACAATTAATTGAAAATGGCAAAATACCCACTTGAGTTTGAGTGAAGTGGGTACAATTTATTTGGTTACTCAAAGGAAAATTAGGATACCCAATTGAGATTAACAAAAGCGAGTACATAACGCAATGACCCCAAAAGTTATCTGTATCTCTGTGCTATGTCGTGATATAAGCAGGCATGCTGCTGCACACTTTGAGATGTACTTCTCATTCCATTTAAAAACACACCTGCCCCTTGCAACACGTCTGAGGCAATTTGTAAACAAACCTGGCGGTGAACTGCTTAACCTAATGAAAACCTATGTTCAGCTCTAACAACAACTCAAACAAACACTTGGGCACTGTGTTCCACACTGAGCTCATTCACCAGGCATTGTTTGTAAAAATATTAGACAGCAGTGTGCAACAGTTGGACACCATGTCAGCATATGCAAGTTGTTCCAAGTTTTGAGTGGTACAGATTTTATTTGACATAAAAGATTATTTTTGCACGCACCATCTGAGCAGTTAAAAATTGAAACTGAAAAACAAACCTTGAAGACAATGTGTGAGGTAAAAAAATAAATGAAGTCTGTTTTACTCTTTCAACACCAAGTAAATAAACATGGCACTTCGTAAATATGGGTGAACTTGAGAGGGCATGTGCTTGTGTGTGTATATGTGCATGTGTGCGTGCACATCTGTCTGTTCATGATTTCTTGGTGATATCTTACAGGTTAATTCTTGTAACATGTCTACCCTTGAAGTTCCAGATTAGAACTGGTGTCTAGCAACCAATGCTTGCTGTCAGAAGCAAGTAGCAGGATCAAATGGTCAGGTTTGCTCACTTGGTTGATGCATGTCACTGTATCCCAATTGTGCGGATCAAGGCTCGTGATGTCAATCACTGGATTGTTTGGTCTGGTGGGGTGTTAAACAAAAGGTAAACAAACATGTAAACCATCACTATGTAGGAACTCACATCTAGCTGAACAGATGCATATCTACCATGACAAGGTATTGGTAGTGCCACATGTGAAATATAACTGACACTACACATTTTGTGTTTATATGGGTCCGTGAAAATAAAAATAAACATATAAAGTATGTTGTTTTCTCTGTATGGTAACAATGGAAACCAGTCCACCGATAGTATTAGATGTAAACTACAAACATTATGAACCTGTCTACTAGTGTCTATTAAAACACTGTGGCTTCTGTCTGTAAATATTTGTCTGTTTGTTGTTTAACAACACACGGCAGCTACATGGTGGTAGTCTGTAAATAATCAAGTCTGGACCAGACAATCCAGTGATCAATAGCATGAGCATCGATCTACACAATTGGGATACAATAACATGTGTCAACCAAGTCAGAGAGCCTTGGGATCTATTCTTAACCCGTAATCCTCACAGGGTTAATTAGTAATTAATAATTAAAGCAGTGTAACGAATGGAGTTTGTAGCATAATACCATTATTTCATCATGCACAAAAATATCTAACCTGCATCTTCCTCGTCCAGCTTCAGGGCTTTTGAGATGTACTCGAACGCTTTCCTGTGGTGATGCTTCTGTTGTGCTAGGGCGGGCTCCCCCGGGCCGACGTAGCTCTTACCCCTCGGGCTGTCTGACATCATGAGACAACCCTCCTCTTCGTCACTTTTTCTGTTATGATATCGGTCTGGAATGGCTCGTCGACTTTTACAAGCAATTAAAATGACAACAACCCATAGTTGATACACGAACGTTCGAAGTAAGGCAAAAACAAACAAAAGGGGTGCAGCGACGATACGGAAATTTCGGCTATGAATTGATTCATATCCCCTAGCGTTCGGACGGCCCCTCCCTTCCCCCTTTCTACGCCCAGACCCCCGTCCTGACCCAGGCCCCTTCCGATGCATATTTCTCGCTATCCGCCATATTTTGAACAAACAAAATTAGAAGATGCTATTAGTATTACGAGAACCGTTTATCATAACGGTACTTCGCGAACCTCTGACAGATCGCCATTCATCCGTGTAACGGTACAATGTTAGAACCGCGTCAGAGAACCCGACCAAACAGGACAGAGTTTTGAGTATGAGAAAAAGAGTTGCACATGATACCATCTTTAGTTCAGAAAGATATTAGCCCATAAGAAAGCAAATTTTGTAAATATTAAATAACGTAACACAAAGACAGGTTTTATAATGACCATATTAATGCTAGATTCATATGTGCTTACAATACGATGATTAATTTACAGGCCTATTGTTTTTCGCACATTGCTCTTATGTAACACACCCTACTATTGCGTAACACAACTTGAGGTTATTTCACAGGCGTTATTTGTTATTTCACACACAGCTATTTCCTGTATTTCACGGACACTACTGTTATTAAGCTAACGTTATTCCAAAGCCCTGTTCATTCGGCATAATATAATTTTATTTCAGACACAAATGCCATACATTTACAAACAATGATATTCCATAGAGGGCTATTAAACAGGCAATCATGTTGTCAAATACGATTCGGATATTTCACAAGCTTCCATCTTCCATTACTACATGATAGTTCCGGCGTTTAGTAAGCATCCTACGGGGCGGTGGGGTAGCCTAGTGGTTAAAGCGTTGGCTCGTCACGCCGAAGACCCGGGTTCGAATCCCCACATGGGTACAATGTGTGAAGCCCATTTCTGGTGTCCCCCGCCGTGATGTTGCTGGAATATTGCTAAAAGCGGCGTAAAACCAAACTCACTCAGTCAGTAAGCATTCTACACATACTATAAGCCTAAATCCTATATAACGTCACTATAAGTGCTGATGACTCAACTCTACGTCGACTTTTTTCTTCACCCATCCGTGCATTTTTGACCACAACTCGACGTCCTGAGCCCTAACCCTTTGCAGAACGGCACTTGGAGTTAAACGTGTTTTGGGGTATAGCTACCCAGAGTGATTAGGGCTCAGGACGTCGAGTTTGGGTCAAAACTTCACGGATGAGTGAATAAAAAAGTCGACGTCCTGTCCGTTTTCTCTCTTTAATAGTCTCTGGTCATCATATTTGGTTAAGATAATTCGAATGCTTTTTTTCTGTGAAATATTTTTGCTTCAGGGACTAGAAACATTTTCTCTGCTGATTAACTGGGTAAGCCATCCTTTGTATCCTGTTGTATCTGGCCTGGTCTGTGAATACACTGACGGCCAGTGGTAGTATCTTCAGTACACGACAGCATAGTATCATCAAATATTAAATAACTCTGGATAAAACAAGTGCGACAAATTATGATACCGAAGTATCGTTTCGTTTCCTGTTGTGGTGAACATTAACATTTTTAAGCTCTTCCTCGTTAACTGGAGTCGTCAGAAATTCTCAAAATATAAACAGATATCTTTAAAGAATTTTTTGGGAAAATTTCTGACGACTCTAGTTAACGAGCAAAAGCTTAAAAATGTTAATGTTTATCACAACAGGAAACGACATGATACTTTGGTCATATTGGAAACAAAATGCTTTGATAATTACTAACCATTGATAGTTGTTTGGAACATGTGATGCATCGTTTTGACAGCCAACCAGGGAAATCCCCACATTAACTCGATAAACCATTCTTATAACTGACATAGCCATTACGGGTTCTGTATGAACGAGGCAGCTGCTCTCTATAAGGAAATGATGACGTTGCGAGGATAACCTACCACGCGCGTTTTGATTGGCGGTTGAAAGCTGCATATTCATGAGGTCAAAACCTTCCCGTTCATAAGCAAATGACGGGGACAGTGCATGATTGTGAGCGGTGGGGCGTGCCGCGCCCACGACGTGTTTATACATTCCCCATGAAGACAGCATCGGAACCGGGCAGGGACGAGAGGGACATGTCGCGACCTCGACAGATAGCCAGTTTGCAAGAGCAGTGCAGAAGGAGTGTTCTAGCGAGGATATCGATCAGGCATGTGCAACAAGTTGCTCAACTCCCTTTGCCCTGTGTTGTTAAAGATTTCCTCATGACGTTCAGAATCACGGAGGATTTTGACTTAAGCGGTATGTACATCGATTATAACTTTAACTTCCCCCATCACGCGCATCATCGTACCCACCAAGTTCACCCTGGGGTCTGTGTTGTGGACGACTCGCAAGTTCTCCTCAAGTGCCTCTCAGACCAGCCTTGTGAACTGTGCGGAACTGCCCGTGAGGACTTTCGACTCACCCGGAAAGAGCGGGAAATATGGGAATCGCTCAGGCATACGAATCTACAAAACTGTTTATTATCAAATGTGAAAAATGAACACAACATGACATGCTACGTCCTTGAGTTTCCTTTGATGAATATTCAGGAATATGCCTATAAAGTGTTCATGTCAGGGAATGTCGTGCCTGAGTTTCTTGTGTGGGAAACGCTATTGAAATTGACATCGGTCTTTCTATATTTAGAAACCGAAAAAGTGGAAGCGTGGGATCTTTGCCAACCTGAACACGTCGTCATTGACAACAGAGGGGAGATTAAACTCGAGAACCTTTTGTTATACTTGCCGGCCCGTAACCTCATTAAACCGCGTCGGAATGTGGGAGCAAGAACACCCTTTCAATGTGCAGCCGAGAGAGTCACCGCAAATACAATTGTTGCGGGTATTGGAAACATAATTTCACATCTGATTGCGCCCGTCCCGTCAGTACTCCTCAAAGATAAGATCACCACAACATTCATCAGCCACCCGCATATCTCCGACTGGGTATACATGACCCGTTATTCAGAGAAACTTCGAGCAACTGTCGCGCAAAGCATGCGACGCTCCCCCAGACCGCTGTTGAGCAAGTTGAGTTCTTCTGCTAGAGGGATGGTGAAACTCTTAAGACCGATGTATAAAGGCCCATACAATCTGTTGGAACTTATCAGGAATAACAAGATGTGAATACGGATTATATCAACACCGTCGACAGGTGTGTTCAGTGGGCATATAGGTGATAACAGTCTGAAACTAATGAACATTTATTACCAAATGTATTTTTGCATTCCAAAGTTTGCCTTCCATAGCCATGCTGACATGGTTTTGTAAAGGTCTTATTCATTTGTACATTCAGGATCTAATTGTGAAGAGGTATGTTAAGATATTTTTTCTATTCCACAAGCCAAAGAACCGATTTGCCTTATTACATACAGTTACATAGTTTCAAACACTATATATATAAACCACCTATATGAAAATGTGTCACAACATGCCAGTGCCTATGGAATAACTGATTAGACAGCACATTTCATTCACTATTGATCAGGTAAATCACAAATGTAATACAAGTGGGACACAATGTTGATATGTCATAGGAATTTCAGTGTGGTTAGATATTTTATAGTACTTGTTTACACAAAGTAGCTGTGCACTGGTCTTGTAAGGTCACCTGCTTTCACTGATGTATATTGACATTTATTATGTTTACTGTTAACAGGCATCGAAAAATGGTCCATTTGTTTCTCATGTATGTGCCTTTACATTATATTTTGGTGAGTACATGTGCCTTTATATAGATGACAAATTTAGTAGCATGGCAAATGTATTTTTTTATGTTTTATCTTATGCATTCAAGGCCTGTCACAATATTCCACAAAGGTCAAAATAATGCATTTATAGAATTGTATGGATGTTCTTATAGCCAGATATTATAGATAATAGATATACCTTGTGTGTTCATCAAAGTATATATGATGATGTCAGGAGCGTGTTTGTGGTGTATCTGTTGAAGAGGGACAGCTACAATACTGTCACACCCCTTTCACATGGCAGAACTAAATGTCCATAGAACCTGTCTTGGAAATATATGGTGCAGATAAATATTGAAAATATATGGTGCAGATAAAAGAATAAAGTATTTTCATGTATAAAAGACTCCGACGCGATACAAAAACAATATCTATATGGGACAGTGAAAACAACTGGGCCCATTATTATACATACAAAAATGCACAACATTATGAAAATCAAAGTGACTTAACCGTTTCCATACATATGATTTATGATTGTACAAGGTTATTTGCAATGTACATGTGTAAATATGCAAGGTAACTGTCTGGATATTATTATTCCACAAATATGAACAGCCTGTGAATTAAGCCATTGGTCCAGGTCCCAAGTCTATTAAAAGGTGTTTCAGTGTAGTAAGATCGGGGGATAAGACGATACATTAACTCTCAGGTCAACTATAAGTGATGTCAAGGAACAGATTTGGGCTCCAACGCTTTTGGCGCAGACTGTGTAAATAACTGACATGGACCTACCCAATTTAAACAAACAGGAAGTAATTGCACATGATCAAACACAAATAATAGCAATCAAACATGAATAAAATCAGTCAAACATGAATAAAAGAGGTTGGCACTTTTACAACCCCAGAACAATAACTGTTATTTCAAATGCCATGGGAAGCTGCTAAGTAGGAATTACGAAAATTTATTGCGTTCTCCAACAGTAATTATTCTCCATCATTCCAATGATTGGAAGCATTTAGGAGAAGTACGAGTGGTTTCATGTAGATTGCTGTTGTTAGGTTTGGCATTTGGCGGTTCCAGTCAGCCTGGTTATCACTGACAATTAGCCTTTGGCGCCATCACATGTAAGCTGATAACACATGTTTCTGCTCTGTGTACAGAATGTAGACATCTACTGTAAACTTGACCAAGCCGTCCTGCTGTCATAGACAATTCATCCCATATGGGCAGAGATGGTGGTCTGCCAATCTAAACTGAGTAAACTCAGCTGATAGAGGTGTTCACCAGAGTTGGCAGAAACTGGTTTCTGTGAAGATTCCTATTAAAACTGGAAGCCAGGACGAATTTAACAGCCATTGTTCCAGGGCTGCCTTGTATACCTAGCATCTAATCAACACAGTTTGTTAACTGTTCTGAAAGTTGTAATACTTTGTTTACAAAGAAGTGTTT